ACCCATCCCTGACAGGCCAGCCTGGCTCAGGCTCAGAGGAGCAATACGAAACCTCCTGCCTTTGCCTTGCTATGCTGCAACACATGGGACCCTCCATTAGTGGTGTTGCCAACAGGAATTTTTTCATTAGATCCCTCTGAAGGATCAAGACTTCATTTAAGGCAACAGACGACACTGGCCAATGGCTCTCCAAAGGGAGCTGCTGTCCCTCTCCCTCATGAGTATCTCTGTTCACAACAGCTTCAGAATCAGCTGGAACAGATGGCTGAGCTGCTGCACGTTTTGCACACGCTCTCCATCAGCAAGAGTGGTTCAATCCCTTAGCTTCTACTTAGAATAATACTCTACAACAGCCTTCCACTACTCTTTCTTCCATGAAAGAATATGGTAAGAAGTTTATTAAGTATGTTGACTTTTGTATATACCAAAATCAACTGCCCTACAAGGTCATCTTTGGGTTCAAATTTTACTGCTGAACAGGTATATTATGTCACTTTATCCTAAATCACAGAATTGTCAGAGTTGGAAGAGACTTCTAGAGATCGTTTAGTTCAACCCCCCTGCTGAAGCAGGACTGTCTACAGCACATTACACAGGATTGCACCCAGGCAGGTTTTGAAAGTCTCCCAAGACAGAGACTCCACAACATCCCCGGGCATTCACAGGGTTTCCACGCACAAGCTCAATTTGTCCAAATTCCACTTGCTTTTTAAACCTGCAATTCAGTAAGTACAAGATGACCACCAAGGAAAGAGTTTGATTTTTTTATTTATGGTTTCCTAAGACATCTTTTTTTTGTTTCCTCCAGTATAAGCATATAAAAACTTTACAGCAAATATACTGATCTTAAGTAGGTACACTGTGCCTAACATTTTAGGCACAAAGGAAAACAGTCATCTAAAAGTCATATGCACTGGGACTTTTTCTCCCAAATAAGCAGGGTACATATTAACTTTTTTTAAAAAAAATATTATTATTTTAAATCAGACTTTACCACTGATACCATTACCCTTTTCTGAAATCTAATAATCTGGAAATAATTTTCAGAACCCTAGACATAAGGGCATTTATAAAATCACATAATACTTCATTAAATCTTGTTTATATTTACTTCTTAAATGAAAATCAGTATTTATTCAGCTGGTTAGGTTGGGGTATTGTTTTACGCTTTTAGTTTTTAAGAGCTATGTATAACCAAGTGATCATTCACTAAAAACTGATGGATTTTTCAGTCTCTTGTCCACCAATGCCACTGAAGCTTGAGAGCATCAAATGTAGCATTTCTGAGAAAGGTGGATTTGGCAGCAAAGAAATGTAGCTATAATATTCAAAAAGAACGACTATGAACCATTGTAATGAATAACTGAAGAACTTAGAGCTTTCAGTATGTAACTAGACTTCAGCAATCAGTTTCTAGGTTATCTTCCACTCATTTACATTTTGTTTTTAATAGACTCAGACATGAGCTGTGACATTTTAGGGTCTCCTGAATCAGTTTGTGATGGTCTCAAAAGTGTTTTTTGAGGTCAGTTTATCATAGAGATAGCTAAGAATGGATTTGAAACTTGCAATGGACCAGAATTCCCCATAGATTTGCAAATTGCTCTTGCACTACCAGTCCTTGCAGAAACAACACCCAGGTCTATGCTGGTACAGAAGATGCTTCTGAAGTGTTAGAGTGCAGGTGTGCAGGTGAAGCATGTTCTCAAACACTGTTAAGGTAAGAGTCTATGTCCCTTTTGCAAAAAACATATAAAGAAGTTTGCTCACATCCCTCTATTACATCCTGCTCTCCACCATCTATCACAACAAACTTAATTCTCCTCTTTTTAAGGAAGCTCCAAGAATCTGATCATTATCTCTCAAGTATAATAGTGTAAATAAGAGACAGGTGCAGACAACAAGCAAGCAAGAAGGATCACATGTCAATAACACAACATGCTGAAAAGAGACAACATACTCCTTCAGGAAGAGGGAATGCTTTTTGGCATGCATTTGCATGGCATCTAGTTCAATGCAGCCCTTTCCTAGAACATGCTATAGCAATGGAGATAAGTCCTTAGATTCCAGGTAAAAAATACATTTGCATACAAGTTCAAATCCTTCCTGTGCAGGGCCCAGAAATGTCCCCTACTGAGTTTCAGCTTTATGAACAATTAAAGTCACAGTGGGTGTCCTCCAGAGGTCAATATCTTGAGAGGAAATAGCCTGGAAGACAACTGACAACCTCAGGTGAAAACAAGAGAGGCTGGCATCATAAAAAATAAAAAAAAAGAGGGAATAAGAGGCATGAAAGAAAAAATCAGAACAAAGAAACAAGACAGACTGAGAATTGTTCAGTGTTATTAGTGTATGGAAATTTGAGTCCGATGACAAGAAGAAGAGTGAGAAAAGAGGTTCAAAGAACAGGGAATTATAACAAGACAATAAGAAAGATGATTAAATGTGCCTCTCTATCCTCAAGTGTCACTACTAAATTTGCTCCTACTCCTCACCCACTGTTCTTCCACTTACACATACAAATAATTCTTACAGACCCCAGTGCCTTTCCTGCTTTCCTGTCTTCCCACAGTCCCCAGAAGCAGGCTCCTACTTCACTATGATGAAGTCTGGGCTAAAAACTGCTCTTTGACTCTCAGGTGGGGCAGAAAACCAGCTGCTCCTCCTTTCTCCAGCCGCTAAATTCCACAAGTTGCTTCTGCTGAGAACAAGGAAGAAAAATGGCCTGTTATTTCTCCTCCCAAAAGAGTACCATTCATTGTGCACTGTGCTGCTAAGCACAAGCTTTTACTACATTTTACTACATATTACTACATTATCACCATTAATCCTACAGTCTTGCACTCAGAACAGGATTATGCTAGTATCCCACCAATTTATGGATTTCTGATTCACTAGCACACTAATTGAGCCTGAACGACTTATGACAGATAGTTCCTCTTTATAAGTATCTGGCTTTATTAAAGTAGTACCCTGCAACCACATGCTGGTTCATCGCAGCTTGACAACAGTGAAGCTGACCTGAGAAGAAGACATCTGACAGTGTATATACTATGATTGTTTTATCTGTGTATGGCACATCTGTATATGGCCACAGACAAGCTTCACTGTATCTATAAACAAGCTGTATCACATAAGAGTGGTACTTTTTACTACATTTCAAAGCCCCAGTTGTAGGTCAGGATCTGCTGAAATGCTCAGTCAGGATTACACCCCACAATCCTAAATAATATGTTTTTGATTGGAAAACATTTGGACACTTAGCCTTTAGCCAAAGTATTTTGATCATTTATAAGAGCCTGGTGTTCTGACATGTTGGTTAAAACTCTGTTTTGTGGGCCATCCCCATGAGAAAAATAATTTTCATGAGGATCCAATATCAGATGATGGAAAAGCATGGGCAGTAAGCCTAGCCATCCTTCAGCTTTGTAGCTAAAGAACAGGAAATAACCAAATTGAACAACATCCAAAAATAAATAACACAGGTAATAAGTGAATAACTACTGATACTCCATGCCAAAGTCAGTCAAATTATGACTGCTGAACTATGCCTCCATGCTTTAACTGGTACATGTGTTAACAAGCAGTGTACTTTTACAGTTCCTGCCATTAAAAACAAATGCATCATTTATTAACACAGCTAAAAATATTATCCACCTAAAAAGTGTGGTTCAGTAAACTAAGTCATCCCATCAGCAACAAGTACAGTAAGTTTCTGAAACTTCTGCCTACACAAGGCATTTTTAATGTATGTTCATATGTATTTTTTATTAAATGCATAAAAGCATCACATGGAAGCTGACAAGTAGCCCCTGCAGTAGTTTTCTCGAAGTCTGTTTACATTATAAGATGATACAACTCCTCAACACAAAGGCAGTTAGCGTCATACAGCTCTGCAATCCACAGCTGCCACATCACAAGCCTTTTCAGATCAAGACAGACCATGACTAGCAGTTGTGAATGCTTAGCAAATTGGATTTTTGTTAGAAGTGAAATCACAGCGGATCAAGGAAACCCACACTTCAGCCAATCCTAAAAACGTGAAGCGTGCACAATCTCCCACACCGTTGGGCTAACCTGCCGTAGCGCTGGGCTGCTGACATGACCTTAATGCCAGCTTGTTCGATTCTTCTTAACTTTCTGATCTCTTCTGCATCTTTCCCCTTGGGTGCTGATGTTTCTTTTGCACTACATGAAGGAGACTGGTCTATGGAGTTTCCTTTGTTTTGATTCAAACCTACTTCACTTTTAAGGGAGTTTGCCTCAGGAGCCATGGAACCCACTTCCTCTTTTCCACACAGTCCTGATGTTTCACTCTGTTCTTCTTCTATGGTTTCAGGGTGGGGTTTGCTATTGAATTATACAAGGTAGTTTAATGTATGCTGTGCCTGAAACACATATGCTTACTTACTATAAGCACTTTTTGTTGATATCAAGATGCCAAAGGATATTCTGATGAATCATCCAGGAAGATTCTTGTGCTCTTTAACGGCAGTTGCTTCTTATGCCAAATCAAAAGTGAACTACCAGTAGATAAAACCAGCATGCAGAAACACATAGTCACAGCTATGTAAACTGTATGAGTGTACAGAATACAACATACAAATAAACTGATTTTTATAGAATTAAAAAAAAAAGGAAATATTACCTATTTTGATTTACCTAATTTGATGTTACTTACAAGTATCATTTGTCAGTGAACTGAGACAGATCACCCAAAACATTTTTGTCCAGCCTTGGGGTTTAAGTCAACATTCATGGTACTTATATGAATGAACATCTTGTCAAACACAAGCTATGTACTGTATTGTATGGTACATAACATGAAGACAATGATTTTCCACTCATTGCTTTTCTACCACCTTTGCCATTTGCTACAAACAATTTACCAGTACCATCTCCGCAAGAATTTTCTTACAGCTTCATATGTCTGATGAAAAGAAGAAAAACTAGGCAGTGTCATCACCAAGGAAGGGAGAATTTGGCCAGGCCAGTCTTACCTGAAAGGTCTGTCTCCCAGCGGTGAAGTCGCCGTGCTCCAGCTCTTTCGATACTCTTCTCGTTCGGCTTTCTTTTTCCGAAGTGGAGCAGGTACATAGAAAGTCTGATTACTTTTGTTCGGGAGGTACTGGTTAAAAGGCACAGCTGATTTAGGTTCACCGTGTGAGGTCCTCCTTGCCAACATATCATCTTTTTTCACATCTGGCATCTTTCTGTGTGGCAGGTCAGTTTCTGAGTCACTTCCTCTCCCTAGTGAGGAAGGAGTGGAAAAAAAAAAAAAAGAAAAAGAAAAAGAAAATCCCTCTTCACTTTCATCCAGGTTGTTTTGTTTTTTTAAATTATAAGTCAGAGAAGAGACCACCAAAAATTACAATTACATTTAGCATGTAGACACCAAAAACTGAGGCCACTTTAACCCATATATTTATTTTAAAATCAGCCACTGAGAGTAGTAGCAATGATATTTACACAGATAATAAACTTTTTTTTTTTCCCCACCAATCCTGATTTTCTATCCCTGAAAAACTCATCTTCAGCCACAGGTCACATAAAAACCCCTCAGATTAAGCCAGACTTGTCAACCACACAGTACAGCTACAGAAGTGTACCTGACTAAAGCCTTAACGAGCTGTACATATAGGTATGTCTGACCTGACTCACACTCTCGAGCCTTGACTTACACGTGCACAGCACAAGCTCAAGCGAAAGGGCTGCAATGCTGTGTATTTACAGAACAGCAGCAATTTGAATGCCCACAGTATTAGCTGCTGTGGGCATCAGCTGCCATAAATTAGAAGACTGAGATGGTCTCTCTCCGGTCTCACCAGTTGCCCAGCCAATCAGTCCAGCACACTGCAACACAGAGAGACTCAATCCTCAGATGGAAAGGTGTGAGGAGAGGGAAGGGATTTCAAGATTTAGAGGTTAGAGTACTATAGCAAAGACTGAAGAATACTTGCTGGCAAAGCAAAGAAATAAGGTGCGAGAGAAAAACTGAGTTACAGAGAATAAGATGGGAGACCAACAGAGCTGAACGACTACTTTATTTTGTTCAAACGAATTAAGCTTCTCAATATTTACGGTCCATTTAAAACACAGAAACTTAGGCAAGACTTTTCCAACTTGAAAACAAAAATCTCGAACGGTGAGACAAATACATCAGAGAGCATTTGCAGTGGAACTGCCCTCCCGGCCATTTTGGAAGCCACTTCATAGACATTCACTAGATTCCCTGCACCATCATGAGCCTTTTAAAATAATTCACAAAGAAGCTATGTAAATAGTTCTCTCCCACAGGCCCTGGTTTGATGAGTGAAATGGAGCGCATTCAGCCAATGTCTGCCACCAGCACTCAAAACTGCTCCCAGCTTTGGAGCATTGGGTGTCTCTGGTCTTGGACCCCTTTGCAGCACTTGCATTTGCAATAGATGTTCCCCGTTTCGGGGTGAAGGGAAGCCACCCAGGTTGTGTCCTCTTACTAATTCACCACACTAGTAAATGACTAGCTAATTCACCAAGCTACCTAGTGAACAACTGAAAACAAAGAAGTCATAAAAATCACAAGTAGCTTGTGTATAATTTAAAGTGGGGGAAGCAAAAGAGGTCTAAATATGCTAGGAATGTTATTTGCAAAGAACTTTTGCAGCAGATTGAGTTTTTCAACGTTTGCTTGGAGAGAGTCGAAGGAGAGTGAAAGGGAACAGTAAGAAAAGACAAGACATGATGGAAATGAGCTACTTAAACAAAAATCACAGTGCACTTTTTGCCAGTAAACTTTTGCTTGAATAATTTTGGTTAAGAGCATATGACAACTAGCACCATGCTTGGTAATCTGAGTCTATATCTAAACAAAAGTGGAGACATGACCACAGAATCACGGGTGTCCAAGGAGAGCTGAGGTTTGAAGAGCTGTAATACCATTAGACCGAGCAGGGCCCCAGAGCAGCTAAAAGAAAATGAAAAAAACCCTTACTGTTATTTGCTATTCTGTTTGGTCTTGGCTTTATTCTGCTGTTTATTTTTGTATCACATGAAAACCAGTCTTGAACTGAAATGCTGGAATAGATAACCACAGTAGCAGAGGGATTAGAGAATAGATTCCTCTCCCTCATTACTGATGTGCCTACCAGCATCCCCAAGATGAGGACTTCAATCAGCTTGGTTAATTATTCATATTTTACTCGTGAAATTATTTTCAGCTCAAATCGGAAAAAAAAAACCCCACTCTCAAAGCAAAAGCATCGAATAGAAGAGGCAGCCGTGCTCTACATTTGTAACCTTAACTTTGTTGTTCTGCATTTCCAAGTAGAAGGAGCAGCATAGTTTTCACAGCCCATAACAAGCAGTTACACACCACAGACACACACAGATTCTTTGCACAAGGATCCATGCACAATTGCCAGCCAAGCAGAGGATTTTATTCTTTCCCAAATAGCAACTCCATGAGCAGGTCAGACTGCAATTCTACCATGTTTTAAACACGATCTTCTGCTCTGCCACTGGTTTTCTTTGCTTTTTGCCAAGAGACAGGGTCCACATGGGACACCAGAGGAGTTCCTAAGCACTGGGGCTAATCACGGAGGGCATTTATGAGGGTGGGATTGCTAACTGCTTGCACCTAAACTAATCTTCACCTTAGGATCACTTCAATGATTTCCTTTTCTTTTTTTCCCTAGGAGTGGAAGGAATCATAGTTTTGTTACACTATCATATTATTTGGTTTATAAAGCTCCTGTCTGAATGGAGAGAGAAGCAATGCAAACAAAACCTTTTCCTCCACCAACATTGCATACACATTATTTCTGTCAAAAACTATGTACAGTTGAGTGAAAAACCGGCCTGCTGGGGCCACAGGAAGAGGTTTGACAGAAAAGAGGTCAGCCAAGCTACACCTCACCTGCAACTCTTGGAGGAGTCAGCTGTGAAGTTATGGCAGCAGCAAGCAAGGAAAATGGGACATACTGGAAAGGGCCAGCTGGACAAGTCACACGCGTGCACGCAGCATCTGCACGCACCCTGGGTCTGGAGATGGTTAAAGACTAATTTTTAAGAACAGGCTTGCATCTTATTTTGTGTTTGTTATGGACTCAAGAATGTGACAAGACAGTATGTGTCTTAGCTATGGCAAAAAACCAACCATAAAACCTTACTAAAATCTGCTAATACAGCAGAACTTGATAGGAAGCAGCTATGGGAATATAGTAACACGTTGCCTACCAGCTCCAAGCAGGCAGGGACACTGGACACTCCTTGAGCAGCCAGGACGGAGCAAGGCTTCTTGATTAGGACATGAGAGAAGCTCCTATTTGCCAACACCACATTTTTGTCTCATTTGGGAAGGCAGGAAAGCATTTTGTAATGTGGAGACTGTGCTTTGTTCAGTGCCTGAGGGGGTGTGAGGCTGTTTGAGGGAATAAGTCGCAGTAGCCAGTTCTGGATGGTCACCCATCAGCCCCAATATCACAGGCCACTCAAAACAGCGGAACCGATCTTAATCCTGCTTTCCCCAGAGCTTCTTCATAATTCAGCTGTGATACCAGCTCTCCCTGACAGCTTTTCAGTTTTAGGGAGTTCCCCATCACCTTAGGAAACCTCTGTGTCCTGTTATGATTAGCCCCAGTTTCTTCCACATATCCACAAGCAGTATGAACACCTGGTTCCTACCAAAAAGTTTTCTGCTCTTCCTATTTTATTAAATAAATAACATTACTAAGAAGAAGTGATTTATGTGTGGAGCATAACTTCATCTGAAGATGATCAGTTTAACTGATTCATCTGTTCATCGGGAATGTAACCGCACAGATGGAGCCTCAATCAAGTATACTTTTGCTCTGAACCAGAACCCTGCTCACGACAGGTAATCTAAGTGTATGCTCCACACTTACCTCTAGCAAATCCTTCCTCATCCAGCACACTGGATGAGGAAGCCTCTGGAAGCCCCCAAGAATCAGAAAGGGAAGTCAGAGAAGCAGCATCCCTTCTGTAAGCCTGGAGCTGTATGTCCTCACTAAAAGGTGTACAAAGAAGGCCACAGTTCCGATGAATGGATGTATTAATTTACCCAATTTCTAAATACCAGGAAAACAAATATGGCAATTGATAAAGTGTACACCAGATATTAAAACTCTGTCAAATATCGGATATTTCAAAAATATTTCTACATCACTTATCTGTCTAGAGTTTTACTTAGGTAAATATTTTACTCATTTCAGTATTTCCCTTGTTCCTGCAGTTTTATTCCTTGCTCCAGCCTAATTTATAAGTTAAAACGAGTCTGCATAGCATCCTCTTACATCGTAACCCAGAAAAACACTCTTCCCATCATAAAACCTACCATGCAATTATGTAACTCATTTTCCAACACTACACCATCCTAACCGAGACAGATTTTGAGATGCTGGCAAAGTCATCTAAACCTCAGGGAGCACAAGTTAGCATTCACAGGGAAGTTCTCCCGCTGGATTAGCACTATTCAGAGGCTTTGTCCAGCTTCTGAGTGGCACATTTGCTCCAGAAACGTTACTTATAATGTCACAATGTTACGCACGTGTTGTGCGGTGACCGGTACTTACCATCGCTGCTCCCCCTGAGCACTACATCTGGAGACGGTGTCTGCTGCGAGCGGGAGCCGAAGGAGTCCAGGCTGTCGAAGGAATCATCTCTGCCGTGGCGAGGTGGGGAGAGGGAATCGCTGCGCTCAGAGTCCCAGCAGTCTATATAGCCACTGTCACGAATGCTGCGCTTTGGACTCTCAATATCCTCCGTTTCCTACATGGAAGTACAGTAGGTACCTCTTCATAAAGAAGGCACTGACATGAGATCCGTTACACAGCAGACAACAAAGTATCTTCCCAAATGCTACAAAACTCCTCCCCAACATAGGGCTTCCTTGCTTTCTGCCCCTTCTCCCCCGTCAAAAGCGCAAGTCTGCAATAAACCCCAATTTTAGGCTGATTACGAGGAAACCCTGCTCATTAGATTAGCAGGACGAACTGAGAAAAAGTTGCGACAGGCAAGTTAATAAACTGGTCAAAACTGAAAGTAACCTGAAACTTGACTTTCCGTCCATAGTCCATAGCACAGACAGAGGCACTACAACTTTAACATTGTGCCTGCACCAGGTTTAAGTCTGCGGCTTACTAAAAGATCCCCCCCTCCCCTTGCCCATCTATTCTATCTAGCCCGGACACCAGCAGACAGCATTTGTTGTTGCTGCTTCAGCTCGGCAAAATAATGAAGCAGTGTGCCCCAGCCTCCCTCTACCTTGAAGAGAAATTCCTGTTATGAAAGAGGGATGTCTTTCTGAGGCAATCAGCAATGAAAAATATGCAAAATGCTTTTCCTGATGCCTCAGAAGAATTCGGTTGTGCTCTTTACTCTTTGCCAGCTCCTGGCTCTGGGGGATATGAAAGCACTTGTAGCTGACCCACATGTTCAGAGCAGGGAGAACAATGGTTGTCTTTGACAGCCCTGTGATTATAAATTCTTTCCAGTGCAAGCAGCACATACTAAAACACTGAAACTCCAGCAGAGGAAAAGGTCAATAGAAGCCATCCTCACCCTTGCATTATAATAAAACCCTTGTTTCAGAGAGTGTCTTAACATTAATTACAATGGCACAAGTTGAGAAAAAACAAAAATAGCTACGTTTATTCAAAGATAAATCTGTTTTTTTCTCCTGCAACAGTAAGTAAAGTCAGAGATGTGGGTGCCATTGACAGACTGACATTTTGCAACTCGAAGAGGCTGGAATGTGAATTTTTTTTCCCTTCCCCCCCCCCATCCATCCAGAAGCATCTGAATATTAATTCCTAATTAAGAAGCACCCCCTGCTTACCACTAGCTGGAGCACAATGGCTATGCTGAGTACAGCTCACACTGTCCCTGACTGCTAAGGTTTTACCCATTACTAATATCCCCAATGAGAAGATGAATCAAGAACCCTGCGGTATGCTACAGCAGGCAATCTCCACAAGAAATCAGGTTAGCTGGAGAAGCGATGCAGGGAGGAGAGCCTTGCAGTAACACACCAGAGCTTCCGTGCTAGAAAAGAGGGAGGTTCGAAGCGAGACGGAGAGATCAGATCCAACGTCCTGCAGACTTTTCAGGAAGAAGGCTTAATTAGTGCCACTTACTGTTACTCTGCCAAAATACCACATTAAGGGCAGCGACAAAGGTCGCCTAAGGCCAAGCTAAACTGTGGTAATGTCATTAAGTAACCTCCTTGCAAACTGAAGTGAAAGTATTTTCTAAAAACAAATAAAACACTTCTAACAAAGTTGTAATTGAACCCTACGCAATTTCCTTCGCCAGTTCTGCTTGGTGAACTAAAATACTGATAGAAACACTGGATAAAAAAGACCCGTCTGCCTGAAACCTGCAAGAGTTAAACACATCCAAGAACAAATCTAAAAATCCTATCAAAATCCCGTTTGTGACACGATCCAAAAATCTTTTCAAAAATCCAAATTCCTTAAATCTCCAAATCCCTTCATACCAATCTGCTATTCTCAATCCTCAGGCACACTTCCATTTTCCTAAATTACTGTATTTGAATGACACAGAACTGCTCAGCAGCCACAGAGACTTAAACTCAGGCAAAAGGCCCCATCCCGCATTCACTATCTCCCGGAGCCTGAAAACAGTCCAATTGTGAACTAATGAGTTCTGCAGATCCTACTTTCAAAAGCCTGTTGATGTTAATTTTGCATGCTGCTCACCAGGAATTAGGAGGCAGGCACCAGGACGGGATCCTAGACTTCTGTAAACACGTTCTTTACAGCCTTCCCCTTGGCAAAGCTACTCTCCCAGCCCGTCGCCGCCTCACAGACGACGACTTGTCCTGCCTTGAACAAACGTCATCTCCCAAGTGTTATCAGTGGGAAAGTGGTTATCTGCCGGACCGATAACACCATAACACGACACACAACAGCACAATTAGTCTTTTATTTTATTTAATTAAAAACACAGTATGTCACTGAGGGGTAGCAAAAGTGTGACTGCCAAATGTAAGATGCGTTCCTCCAGGAAGTTCTGCCCACTAAATATAATCAAAAAGCCACGGATGTTTTGTCATTGGGAATTTCTAGTTTAAAAGTAAAGAAGAATGCGTACCCAAATAGTTAATGAAATTAGAAACAGAGTAGCATGAATAAAATTAGAAATGAATAGCCCTCTCAGTATGAGAAGTAGAAAAAGATGAGTCCGAGACAACTTGCATCTGAGCTGCCTTTTGATTTGCTTATTAAAAAAGGAGGGCAGAGAGGATTTTTAACAGAAAAGCTAAACCAGACTGAATTTATGGTCATTTTAATTATTAAGTTCTGTGGAAAAGGATGCCAGTAGAGAATGTGATAAAGTGTCTTTTCATCACTCGAGCTCAACTATAAAGAACATCAGAGTGTTGCACAGCATGATTAACATGTTCTATTTTACAACCAAATCCTCTTCAAATGCAGTAACAGACAAACCCATAATTGCCAGTGGAAATATGGCAGGGGTACAAGAGTAGGGAGATGACCTTAAAAAAAATTGCCATCTGCCCTTGTAACAACACCTAAACAAGACTTTTCAGGACTGCAAAGTTCTCTGCTTTTACATTCAAGGAATATGTAGCTTTCAGCTTTTATGAGATCTCTACTCTGCTCCCAGCTCCAACACCTGCAACAAATCAAGGCTCAGCCTCTTGCTTTTGTCCTCGCCCTGCAGCGCTCTGCGTTGCCCAGCCCAGCGCTCCACGATCATCAGCTCCCTGGAGAACTCTGCCTACTTCTTCCCACAAAAGGGCTCAAGACAGGACCTCCAAAATGCCCTGATGATTAGTTCGATGAGAAGAGAGGTGCTGAGAGATTAAACATTAAAAAACATTCATGATACCATGCAGCACTTAACATTATAACAACCTGCACTTTGGCAATTTTTCCGCTCTAGCTCCCTTGACCATCTTTGTTTCACCTTCCAGAGGCTTTGGGGTAGGGACTGCTCCTTCCCCACATCTTCTATATGGAAACAACTCAAGTACTAACTTAATGGTTTTTTATTGTTAAGGCTCAGTCATATCACTCATGAGTGGCAAAGTCCCCAGTGCTTAGTGCATGTCGTTTCAAACAAAGACCAAAATAAATCTCTACAGAAAAGCAGGATGTTTTCTTTTCCTCACCACTTCCACCCGTTTGTTCACAGGAACTGGGCTCACAAACAGGGATTTTACCCATTTATCTGGTCACACCAGGGTGTAGGAACTGCTATCAGTCAGCCAAGTAGTCCTTCCTCTCCAGAGGCAATCCAGCGCTGGCCCTCTGAGATCCCAAGAAGGAAGAGCTGCAGCTGATGCAGATGCAGTAGCACGGAGAATGAAGAGCAAGGAGTCTCCCATGGTCCCCAGCCCTACTGCCTGTGGCGACTTGGCCACTACATGAGATGGGCAGGGAGCAGCAGGCACAAAGGTCTCTCTGTGAGCAGTATGTCCAACACATGCAATGTTAACACCGGGCACTGCCACCTTCTTATATGCCTGCTCCTTGCCCCTTCCACCCCCAGTAAATGCAGGATTGGATATCAATGCTAACCGCTACTGAGGCCAAGGGTCTCATGCCAAGGGTCAGGGCATGCTGGAACGCTCAACCAAAAATCTCCAAAACCACTATACAGCAATCACAACTTTTCTTTTCCAACAAAGCTCAGTTCATCATAAACCACAAAATATGATTTCAGCCAGAACTTAGAGGTTGGAAAAACACAGATTGATCATAACTATGCCCTTTGTGAAACACAATCTCCTCCTACTACCCTTCAGCTTTATTTAGATACTTTGGTTTGATGCTTTATGTTGCAACATGAAAACAAAAGAGCTACCCATGAGACTGAATTTTAAAGAAAAATCTGCTTCTTTGAGTCCTGCCACCTTACTTTTGAGTCTCAGCTCTTCTAGCTGAAACTGTGTCATAAATAAAAATAATTCAAGCCAAAACACACGAAAATGAAGATGACAGAGACACATAACAATTCTAAAGCCGTGTTTGATATCACACGCAGCATCACTGATATCACCACAAAGCTGTCTGCCACAGAAAGCTGTGTTGATAGCTTGGTAGAGTCAGAAACGTTTTTAGTTAGTAAAAACCTCTCTCCTTTAATTTGTACTCTGCCCCCCCCCACTTCTCTCTTATTTAGCAACAAACAGGTTACTTATGGGAGCAATAATACATTTTCCATTCCCAAAACATAACAAAAAGATACCTTTCTCATTTGTGCCAGCAAACCTTCAAACTCCTTCAGGTTCAGGGTTGATCCACTATATGATGCGCAGCTGTTTGCTGCTTTCCCTAGCCAATAAATGGTGACTAATACCTGCAGAAATTAACAATCATTAATTGAAGCCATCTACACAGTTATTTAGCTACATTTACTTCCCTTCAGTATCTCTCATTTACACTAAACTGCACAGCAGCAGCACAAGTTCTTGTTATAAATCAGAATTGAAAGGGAAGGGTCCGTCAGTGGTTAAACATAAATACATTGTGTGACTATGAAAATTTAAACTGTCCTATAGAATACATAACACATCATACTCCTGGAATTTCTATGAAAAATAGAACTGTCATGTCTGCCTGGGAAATAAGCGGCACAAATAAATCTGAATAGAGAAACTAGGCAAGATATTTGAAACTATCTAGAAAACCTACTTATAAGTACATCTGTTTGTAAACCCAATGGGAAAAAAAAATTCCTAGAGTACTAATACTAGTGGTCATTAATTAAAACCATTAAAACTAATGGAATAAATAAAACATCTGAAATGTGTGTCTGCCTATTTCAAGGACAGAAAAGCTAGTTCCATTTTTAATCACCCCAATGTAATTAACCAGATGACACAAGAACATTTACTTCCAGGCTTCTGCTAGCCTAAGAAATGCTTAGCCCATCTGGTTGTTTCTATCAGACTAAAGCAGGAGGAGTGTGTAGTTTCATTCAAGTTCTGGCTTGATGCCTCTCCGTAACTCAAAAGTCACTTCAAAATTAGAGGGGGAAAAAAAGTGCCACAAATTGCTCTTGCAAATGTTTATATATCCTCTCACTGCTTTAGGCAGTAAGGAAATCTGACCTGTTGCACTTGTTTTAGGAAAGGAGAAATTAAGATGATCAGGATGGTCAAATCCAACACCTCCAAAACCGCTGATATTTGTATCATGCAGGGAAAGCAAACAGTCCTTCTCTGCACCCACATATTTCTCCACTTAAAGCAAGGTCTTTAACGGTACCTGGGCAACAGCAATTTGGACTGGAAACTGATCATCAAAGGCAATTCAGCTCAGTGTTTTGCACCGGTTAAAAATGCCAAACCATCACCTCAGAACTTAGGGCTTTTTCTCGTTTAATGCTCATTATTACGGCATATTCCGTGACATTGCAAAGTATTTAACTGCAGAACAAACAGGAAATATTTTGATGTGGAAAAGATGTGCAACCAATAATAAATAATGGTTGCCATTAACTGTCTCAAAGAAGTTAAATAAACTGAAATAAAGTATTTTATGTTTTGATGGGACAGAGCCATATATTTCATACTATGTAGTGAACTAAAAAAAAATAGGATTAGGAGAAATTCCAAAGGGCTGCTGGAGACAGACATTTCTGTCACACTCCTCTTCCCTAAAACATGCACCCACGTTTCTTTGGTGCTTTCTTCTCAGCCACATACATTAGATTTCTGATCAGTTCCTTCTTATCAACTTTTTCTAACATCCCCACTTTTCATTTCAGTGTCGTGTCCAAAATCACACACAATACTCCAGCTAAGGCCCTGCCAGAAAAGACTAGAGCACGTGTCATACAGATCGTCTGTTTAAAAACAACTTTGGTGCATAACGTTAAAGTTATATTTTATTTTTTAAATCCAGTTTATGTTTCCCTGTAGTTTATAAATAATATATATGCCATGAAAGAAGTGAATAATGTTTTTAATAAAGTTCAGAAATCTTCCCCTTGTTTTTAGAATTACGGCCAAACTGATGCTACTGTGCTGAGGGAAAGGGCATGGTTTTGCCAGTATCAATTTTTTTTTGTCTTGAAACAATCTTTATCTGAACAGTTTTCCTTCAACCAGCACTACTCAACAAATTTATGTAAAAAATTCTTACAGTACATGGTCTCAAGTTAAGTGAAAACATTTGCAAATCTAGTATTCGTAGCAACCAGGAAACTGTCCAATACAGTTTGCCATTCTGTTCTTTGATGAAGGTTGTGTATTTTTATTTATTTCTGCTAGTATTTGATCACTTTCTCTCATCTTCCTTTCTTTATCCACTTTATTTTTTCCAAATAACGTCACATTTGCAAGCAATTCCGACTGGCTGCCAGCCGAGGTTGCATGATTGCGCACCTGGAAAGCATATCTTGTCTACAAGCACGTTGAGGAGGATTCTTCTGAAACTTTACCTTTAAAACAATACATCTGTACAAAGATATTTAGCCAGTGCCCACAAGAGTGCTAAAATGTCAAAGCTGAACTTCTCTCCTACAGCTTTGTGTGCTGGATACAGAAGATGTTACTCTAATGATGATGGGAAAGCCATGATGACATAATTTTTTTTGAGAGGATGTGTGTTTATTATTTTTCACCTGGAGCTATGATTACTGGCCTGCAAAGTTATTAGGAGAAGGACTAAGCATTTCCTAGCAGTTTATAGGGATGTGAGCCAAAGAAAAAGATTGAGTTTACAGCAATTTACAGCTGACTAAGGACAGACAGCTTGGCTAGGCTTTAGAACAATAACTAACTCCAAGACCAGCAAATTTCAGCCATTTGCTTGTCCCCTTTTACAGGATTTTTTTGCAGGATTTTTTAAATTATGGGGTCCAGGACCACTGCCATTACTTTAAATTAACACAAAATCAAAGTCAAATGGAACTAGCCTTTCTGGGGAAACGTTTATTTGAAAGAACAATGAAAAAGCTAGCAAGACTTGCAACCAGATCTAACAATCATTTTACTTCCTTGTAAATGTAAATGCTGTGTGTAAATGTACTATATATCTCTATTTTCACGAAAGGCTACAAAAGTGTAGCTTCATGGGCAAGTCAGACCGTTTCCAGTGAAAAACCACAACAGAGAGCACAGAGATCACAGATTTATTCCTTATCTAAGACGAGACAAACGTTTTGTTTCTACTGTAAGGCTGCTCTGCCATAGCAACTCCATCTAAAATTCCAGTAGAACCTGATTAGGTTTACGCTGAGAAGAACTTTTCAGCAATACTCATATGTACTCAGTTTTTAATGACCTAATTCTGGCTCAGGCCAAATACAGGATTAACCTGACCAAAATAAAATACAATAAAATAAAAAATCCAAACAAAAACTCAAGTGATGTACTTACATTTTTCAGCTTCCTACTATAGTCAGCGTTCCTGGTTGCACACACACAAAAAAAAGAGGGGGGAGAGGGAAAGTAAATCAGAAAGCAGACACACTTTCCAAGAGCATGTATGCAACAGATCACCTTTTTCCTAGCAAAAGCCTACAGAACATTTCTGCTGGCTGGAAACACATGCAAGCTAAGAAGATGTAGTTTACACATTCATTTATTCATAACATGGGAGTATTTTGTCACCATTACTTCAATCATTAAATTAGAATTCTGGAAGTACAAAAGAAAATGTGTTTATAACGGCCCCACAGTAAAGTAGGACAGTGCCAGAAATATTTCCTTTAAATAGAGCTGCTGATTTCTTCAGAAAAGAAGACAAAAGTCCTCATTGCTGAAATGTGTTGTGCAGTAATCCAACAGTCAGACCCTGCTCCGTGATAAATCATGCAACTCATACAGACTCTGGAAGCAACTGAATGTGCACAGGAGACTGAAGAAATCAGCAGCAAACGTTAAGGAAATAGAGCAGGTGCTTCTGTGGAGGACAAGAATCATAAAGTAGATTGGTGAAGCAACAAAGATCCTGCCACTTGCAACAGAACCTGCAGTGGAAAATGTATTTTTGAACGCATACTGGAGCACTCCGACTGAACATGGGCATCCTTCTCAATTTAAGTTTTTCACCAATGCTCAAAGGGTAGAAGTTTTGTGTTGGGAACAACAAAGCACAAAGTTTTACAAACATAGACAATGTTCCAAAATTCAGCAAAGAAACCATTAAAAAAAAGAATGGAGGAAATATGTATCACACTTAGGTGCTGAAAAATAAATAAGACTACTTCAGACTTAGTAAATATCGTCTCCCGATTATTTATAATGGAATCGTCTTCTGCTATAACAGTAAATCCACTCCAGCACTCAAGGTTACCTTACAAATCAAAAATAAATGTACTTCAAACTGTGAGAACAACAAAAGCCTATATTAGGCAATGCTAAAATGAAGTATTTTTTATAATATCCTTTTAAAGACAAAATTATATCTATGAATACCCACATACTAAGAAAAATAGTCCTATTTTTTTTCTTACTAAAACAGCAGTGGAAAATAATCTTGTTTAACAAGTTAGGAAGAAATTCTTTAGAGCGTTAGCTCATAACTTTTATAAGTGGAATGATCCAAAAAAACCAGATCTAATACATATCTCAATTAACATCTATACGAAAAAAAATTGGTTAAAAGTGTCATTATCTTAATTGTGTGCAATAACGTCATATTCATCCTTTACCATAGAACAAATGCCATTTTTATCGTGTTTAAGAAAATAACCCAGAAGTCTTCAAAAAGGGGGGAAGAATATCACCTTCATGCTTTGGGAACTAGCTAGCAGAAGACAGTCTCAAACATATTTCTCTACAACAGTCATGGACTTGGCTTGTGCACCTCAACTCAGTCACTCAGCGTGAACTTGGACAGTGCTAGGAAAACATTTGGCTCATTTCCACAGCTGCTTTCTCTGAAGAGTTGATGGGGGAAAAAGAAAAAAATAAAAATCCACGCCAGTGAGACACTTCACCTCTACTCAGCATCAAATTAAGCAGAGGGCCAAGCCTACTCAGCGGAGTTATTTACTCCTTGTTGAAGCTGCTTACATGCTGGACAGCTCTCCTGCCAGCTCCGGGCATGTCCCAGCCTCTCAACCTGCCCAGCCTCTGAGGTGCTCCTCCACCACTCTCAAACCCACAAGGTCCCACTTCTCAACAGAAAGACCTTTTCTCTCTGGTCTCATATAGAGATTAAGGCTTCATAAAGAGATTAGGGATTGTTTTGCAGCTCTCTCCAGCCACTCACTGTCATGATACAGAGAAGGACAACCAGAACGATTAGGGGACTAGGGGGTAAGTCTCATGAAGAGAGGCTTAGGGAGCTGGGGCTGTTCAGCCTGGAGAAGAGGAGGCTGAGGGGAGACCTTATTGCTCTCTACAACTGCCTGAAAGGGAGCTGTGGTAAGATGGGTGTTGGCCTCTTCTCCCTAGTGAATAGAGACAGGACAAGAGGGAATGGGTTAAAGTTGCACCAGGGGAAGTTTAGATTTCAATATCAGGAAAAACTTCTTCACTGAAAGGGTGGTGAAGCACTGGAACGGGTTGCCAAGGGAGGTGGTGGAGTCACCATCCCTGGACATGTTTAAAAAACGGCTGGATATTGCACTTCAGGAGATGGTTTAGTGTTAGAGTGGTGTAGGGCTGTAGGTTGGACTTGGTGATCTTAAGGTCCTTTCCAATCTCGATGTTTCTATGATTTTACAACATGTCTTGAACCACGTATATTATGATATTACCTGATTTAGAAGAAATAAGTTACATAGTCAGTTCTCCCTGGTAGGTACATTTGAGAACCTCTTCATATCAGAAGTCTGGAAAGGAGTAAAAAGTGGAAGACTATTCCCTAAACCAAGAAGAGTGGCCAACTTGATTTTCAGAACCTTTGAATTTTCCCAGACAATGTTTGAACACCATGAAAACTTGCCCAGCTTCCACTGCCAGAAGGGAAAAAAAATAGAATGCCGCTGAAATTTAGTAAATTGTTTCCATATACTTTTCTAAAATGGATATGTCTGACTAGGATTTCATTAGTGATCTTTTTGGCCAAATGAAACAAGGTCATTAAATCAACTCAGCAGTATTCGCTTGTCTGTAGAGCAGTAACTTTTTAATATTACATGAAAGACCCAGAAATTTCAGGGAAACAATCTAAATAACACAAATTACAGATTCTGTTAATTTTATGAAAGTGTGAGGTACTCTTGCTTTTGGAGGGTGGAGAGCATGACTGCCACTAATATAAATACGAGAAAAACACAGTCTGACTGCTTCTGTTCTCTAGTCCATGATGACAAGTCTTCCCTGAAAAAGATGACAGTTCTTGTTTAAGACCTCAATCTATGACTATATAGACTTTGGTTCAAGAGTGCTCATATGACTGTAGGAAGGCCAGTAATTCTTTCTGTCCCAGTTTCACATCTGTACTGTAGTTTGAATCACTTTGTGGGATGAAATGTTGAAAATACAAGCATTCGAGTGCCTAAGCACTAGTAGTCTTTGCAGCTAGGGATGTGCACATATCATGGCTAAAAAGCTGTTGATTAAAAGGAGATTTTTTTAAAAAAATCACTTTACAACACCCCGTCCCCATGAATAAGTTATTAGGAAGCAGACCCTCTTAACATGCATGTGGTTATTTGTGTGGTAGTAAGAATGTGACTTTAGTAGTAGGAATGTGAAAAAGCATCTAAATTGTGGCTTTTCCAGTCCACACAGTTCACACAATTTCAGCCCAAATATCATGTCCTAGCTTATAACTCTTGCCAGAAAACAAACAGACTGTGTTCATGTCTGCACCTTGTAGAGTCTGGAGAAGCCTATAAATGCCCTATAATGCATCTTCAAAACAGCTTAATCTGAAATAACAGAGCTGTGACTTTTTTCCCCCGGCCTACACAGATAATTAGTTGGACAGACAAAAAAGAATGCCATCAATTTAGACTCAGGAAAACCCCTAAGTCCCAGAGAGTCTCATTGCTTAACTAAAACAGTATTTTAAAAGAGCTGTGGTTGATCTCTCTGGGAAAAATAACGGCCCTTAGAGAAAGCCTGCTAAAGGGAACAATGTACTTTTCCCAGCGCTGAAGGTTTCCCAAACCTCAGCTTCCTATTTGCTTTATACAAATGACAGTTCTATAGCCTTTTTGCTCATCCTTAAATATTTACTATAGCATCATATGCATCTGAGGTTGTAACATGCTAATCACAAACTGCTGTTGTACTTACTTGATGGTTACTCTGTTTGATGTGTCCTGCAGATCACCAGGATCAAAAAGCTGAGATTCTTTAAGTCCCAGCTCTTTGCAGCCTCTTAAGAATAAGGTGATATTATCCTGAAAACAGACAAAAAAAGGAAAAAAACACCTTAAACTCTTTACTGAAAAAAGTAACTCTACCAAAACAAGCTCTCTCTGACTACATCAGCAACAGCTCAAAACCAGCTCGGAACTGAAGATACTTCCAGTCACATAATTTAAGAAGTCAGTATATGTTTTCTTTGAAAAACAGAAAAAAATATTTTTTTTAAAAGATATGTAACTGCAACAAGCTTGCTGACTTTTCTCTTTCCAGACCCGGTTGCTAGCAATTTCTTCAACTGAAAAAGCCCTGCTTACTTCCCCACTTACTGCTGTAGGCTGCCAATACAACTTCACCACATTATGAGGCAGAAAAGGCTGTATTTTTGAAGGGAGCGGGAAGAGTAGGTATGAAACAGCCCACCACCATTTAAGCAAGCAGTTTGTTCAGAAAACATTTTGCACGTCAATATGAACAAGCCAGTTACTCCTTATTAACGCAACTGGTCCCTCCAACATTAATCAGCTAGAAGCTGCTGGGAAAAGAGGTAGGTGCCCTCTCCCCAGATAAAATGCCCGAAGCTGTGTTTTACGTGACCACTGTGTATAAGAAGAAACAACACCAATTTTATAACACTTTATGGAGGATTTACACTTTACACTTTATAGAGTGTAAAAAAATAGAATTCAATAACCAAGAGAGATTAATCCCAAACTGACAGAAACCTCTTTCAAATCAAATACAAGTGATGACACATGGGTTTGCACCGTGGGGATTAACTCTGTATGTGTGTATATACATTTAATATACGTTTTATCCTTACACATATGCATGCACATTGCCCCCCTTTCATAGAACCAGTGAACCTTTCTTATGCAGATAAATCCTGAAGGTCAGTTAGAGAACAAGTTTTAAGATACATACATTGTTAGATCAGCAGCTGCATTGGTAGATGTGTGGACAAGTAAAGATATAATGTACAGCTTGATATTTTTTGAGGCCTCTCATCCCAGACCTCAAATTGAAGGTAAGCTGCCACACAAAGAGTTAGACAGGAGCAGAACCACATCATGTGGGCAGGCACCTCCAGGTTTTTAAAAAATGTGGAGCATAGGAGTCTGGGCTGCGCTCAGCTCTTGTCCACACTGCGTGACAGAGCAGGAGTGGCAAGCAGGGCTCTCCCCGCATCTGCTCGATGGCTTTTGTTTGGGTGGCACGGCCAGAGCCCGGCGAGAGCAGCCCTGTTTATTCTGTCCAGGCGCAGCGACCAGCATGCTAATCGCTCTGGCTCTCTGCATGCCAGCGCTCTTGCACACAAAGCTCGCTGTCACCAGCCACACCGCAAAAAAATACAGACTTGGAAATTTAGAGGAGTCCAAATCTGCCTTTCTTCCCTGGTTGAAACTTAACAGCTCTGGAGGGGAGCCAGGGGAAAAGGAACAGCAGTCAAGAGAGCAGAGAGCCCATAACCCAGAGAGACAGCATCATTCATGACATGAAAAGATGCTTGTAAAATTCCCCATCTGGCTTACTGTTTGCATTATATTTTTTCCAACTGCAATGTGAATAACTCTTGTGTTTAGCCTTTGATGGAGGACAGTTCTGGTCACTTCCTGATGGTGGGTGGAGCGATGCCTAAATCTAATAAAAATGCAAAAGCATTAAAAAAAAAAAAAGTTCCTAACAATATTTCCTAACAAAAATACACAGGACATACAGAACACAGAAACCTAATAGGTTTTGAAAACAATCAAAGGAGGGAGACCTCCGGGGATAACTAATTGCATCCATCTTTATGCCAAAAGTTCACATCCAAGTTATCATAAGCAGTAATAAAAATATCAGCCATTTGGCAGCCATGTAGTTTGGGAGCTTGGTGATTCTGTTGATGAACAAATGCCCACTTCTCAAAAAAACCAACAACCACACAAAAAGACAAGCAGCGTCACAACCCTAGGTCTGTTTTAATACTTGTTTTTTTCCTGGCGGTCATCATAAAAAATATGCTTGCCAACAGTCACTAACACCATCACCCAAACAATTCCTCAGAAAGCTGGTATCTTATGTGGGCACAGATAACCACACATGCCACGAAGAAACAATCAGTAAGCACTGAACAAAGTTTTTGCTTTTGCTAATACTCTTAGAGTTTATTTCCCAATGGTCTTAAAAATGGAAGTATGTTTAAAACTGTTAAAAAATCCAAAAAAGCCAACAAAGAAGTTCTTTTCAAGTGACAGATATTTAGGTAAACCTGCCTAGGCTGCCTATCCCCAAGCCAAAAACTTATCTCACACTACTGCAAAATGAAACTTCGTCTAGTCTGCTCCAGTACAGTTGAAAATCGTATTTGTTAGCTCTGTTAAGAAACTGGAGAACAACACTCCTAAGCCACTAAAAGGGGAAAGGAGTCTTATCAGTAAGACCCAGCTCCCAGCAAAGCTTTCTCTCAGGATTACCACACCTTGCATTGGACAAGTCTTGGTTTCTTCAGTTGTCAGAAAATTTTGCTTACGTTTTTTTGAGAGAAATTGTAGTTCCATATCTGTTTGCTGTAACTACACTTTTTTTTGCAGTTGCTTATTCTAAAGTGTCACTTCTTTGTTGCTGTTGAAGAAAATAAAAAGGGGGAAAAAAGCTTTACAAGAAGCAACATATATAAAAATACCTTTACCTTAAATAAATGACTGAAAACACATACCTCGTGCACGTCCAGCCCCTTACACTTTGGCAGAGTTAAAATAGGTCACGCAAATGGGTCACACTGCAATGGCAAGGATCACAGTGCGGCCAGCTGCCGTGCCTCAGCTAACAGGGCAGGATCTTTTACAGTGGTCTCAAAAGACACATGATCAGAATTCAGTCCCTCTGGCAGTGCCCACAGGGCACTAACTCACAATTTCCTTGGTATATTAAATGGACATGATATTGCCTTTCTCTGAGCAGTTATCTGCTGCAGCTGCAGAATTGGAGTCGACTATGGATGGTCACTTGGTCAGCACGTCATTTCCTACAGCCCCAGGGGAGCTGCAACTGTCTTGTGCTGGCTCCTCTTGATTTCAGTCCATACCGCTATTAAACCAAAAATCTTCTGGGTTTTGTCTTTCATACAGCTAGAGAAACAGTGAGCTTACAGTCTATACTTCTTTGGCAAATTTTATCTCTTTTTTGCCTATAAAATTTTATATCTGTAAATCCATAATCTACAGATATCTATAAAATTTTATTGATGTTTTCTCTATAAAATGGCATGAACTCTGAAGAGTCTGCTTACAGAAGACAAACGCTTCAGTGTGATGACAGACAGAGGACACAGCACAGGATACACTGATGGGTTAAACCCCAACCCTTTTCTGCTTGCCTAAGCAGAGTCCTGACAGTTACTGTTAGATCAGCACTACAAGCAATGTCATTTACTTGTAAGTATTAGAAACACAAAAATTGCTAATATAAAAGCGTTTTGCTATACTGAATTTCAGAACCCAAATATTAAGCAACACAACAAACATCACTAACTCTCAGGCAAAGCCAGACATGAACGAGCAAGAATGGCCTGGGAGCAGCAGGGAGAGACAAACAGGGGTGCAGGGCATTGACTCCCCAAGAACTGGGCCAGAGGGATGCACTGGAAGGAAGGGAAAGCTGCTTCGGCTCTCACAACTGCATTTCAACACCCTCACCTTTTCATCCTTTCTGTTGTGTAACCTGACAGGCTCACCTCTACAAAATCACTTCACCAGGACAACTGCCTGCAGGTAGTACAGAAAGAATGGAGAGCAGAGGGGTCACACCTCCATGAAAGTAGAGGGAGGGGAGAAGAAATTATGTGTTGCTACAATTATTTCTTGGTCTGTTTTTAAAACACTGATAACTCACAGTTTGGAAAAAACCCTTCACTGTACAGTATTAAGTAATTTTCCTCACACACAAAGTGGAAGACAAAATATCTGTGGAAAAAAAAAAACAAAACTCCACAGAAATTGGCAGTTGTGCAGGACAGACACCCTGGAAAGCCACCGCAAATTCACACAGTAGCACTGCCAACACACAAGATAGTTCAAGCTAGTGAGAATCAAATATTCACAGCAGGCAAATTCTCTCCATAGGATCTGCTGATCAGATGTAATGGCAAACAGCTTGAATTTGGCCTACTTCCATTCCTTTCATCTGCCACAATAGTATACAAAATATTCTCACTGTATCCACGTCGCAGATCGGACCTGCAGCTTATCGCTGTGGAACCATCATTTGTCAGATGTGCTGCTGCATGGCCTGGGTGAGATATACAGATAAATTCGTGCAAAACAAAAGCAAGTCAAGCTGTATGTCTGCACAGAACGCTGAATAAAATGCCAAGTGCATGCCACTTCTGCAAGCTAGAGATATTATTAGTCACCAGCCGTGCTGTTTTGTGGGACAGCTGCAGACAAACAGGTGGTCTTTTTCATTTCTGGTATGCTGAAATTTTCCCTGTTCCAGAATAAATTTGAAGATTGCTTACAAATATATATTTATTTTGTTTTCCAAGCTAGTTTCTGAGCATTTTCCAATACAGACTCCTAAAAAGCTTCTGTTTACTCTTAATATTTCTTTCTAACTCTCTTATTTTTCCATTTTATATAAGTAATTAATGGTGATAATTTCATTAATTAATTTTTATAAAAGCAATGGATCCTGACCACAAGGAGATGCAAAGGACACATTGAAATATACAGCTCAAGTCCACCAGGAAAGAACTTTTATGAGAAAGGCTGGGAACTTTTCATATATATATATATATATACACACACACACACACACACATACACACACATAGGTATGTATGTTTTACTATTTACCCACTTTGTTTTAATATATGTAAGTATGTGTGGTTTACTATATATGTTTTAATACATATTGTTTTATCCTTCAAACAGTACACTTTACTGTATATACAGTAAAGCTACACTCCACAAAACATCGTTTTCTGTAGCAGATTACAAATCAGTAGATTTGGAAAGGACTGAATCATAGTCAAGACATGTTCACTTAAAAA